TATAAAATATATATATATATATATATATATATATATTAGTCAAAGGATTTCAATCCTTATTATGATTCACCTTAGTAATGGCTCGGCATATTTCTATACATTTATTTTGCGGCTTTGAATAGTAAATTTAAAATTAAAATAGTCATAAATTTGCGGGCTCTAATGACCTAATTATAAGGCTTATATAATTATGGCTGTGATAATTATAAGGCTTATAAAAATATGTATATATGGGCCGTGATTAGATGGACACCCTGTATTTTATTTAAAAATGACTACTTCGCTTTTGTCTAAAGTGTTTTAAGTTAAATTTTCTTATAATTTCAGACCAGGAAAGTGGACAGGAAAAACATTGCTGAAGTTAAAGACGCTAACAGATACTATTTCATAGAATCTGCAGTAGCTCTCTTAGTGTCCTTAATCATTAATATATTTGTTCTCGCTGTATTTGCAGCAGGAATGAGCGGAAAAACAAACAATTACGTAGTAAGTATCCAAGCTGTTAAACACGTCACACTATTGTATCGTTGCCGTGGGTAAGCATCAGCAATATTACCTACGCGGAGAACAGCCTTTTTATATTTTTTTTTATATCTGTCGTTGAACAGCCGACCCAATTTTTGGGTTTACGACTACTAATGTTCAACTCCGTAGCCTTGCAATTTTGAACCAATGTTGTGTCCTTATATAAATAACAAGTTAGGAATCTTGAGACATCTTTATAAAAAAAAACTTTGTTTATTATTTTTCAACTACTCTCTCTAGTTACAGAATCGCTCGTAACCATGGCATCGTGAACAACGTTGCCACCGGAATTTGAGCCAGCACAAAAAACAATTAGATTATAACACCTCGTGACACACTCCCACCTTTGATTGTTCTTAATAATCAAACACAAATCTCTTAGACATTCAAAGGTAGAAGAAGCTACAACAGTTGACGTCTAACGAAACTTAAATTAACTGCAACGAGTTGGTTTTCATACAGCCCTACCACATTTAGTTTTCATTAAGTCTGTGCATCGTTCATCATCTCTAATCTCTCCAAATTCAGTTTCACCTTTGAGGCTATCAACTTTAGTTTTATCTGTTTAGTTTAGTTATTTTAGTTATATCTTTAGTTTTTTTGATCTTTACTTGTTTAAATGGTTCACGGTTAAATATTTCATTTGTGAAATCGAGTTCCAAAGGATGCAATCGTTGCACAGGACGAATTAGTTCGCCTTTTCCAGTTTTCAGTTTTACGACTCTAACCGAGTTGTCCTTCCCAGGAAAAACTTCAACTACTCGTCCCATTGGCCAGTCCAGTCTCCTTTTGTCACACTCGATGAGGACCACATCTCCAATTTGTATTCGCTTGATAGGTTTTTTATTTTCCTGCCTATGAATTAGCATACTGAGGTACTCTTCCCGAAATCTCTTCCGGAGATCCTCTCTCAATTTCTGTTGATATCTGCACCTTTTGGCCAGGTTGACGCTGTCTAAATTGTCCAAGTCAGGCACTCCCACCGTTTGAACGTCCTGAAGGAACATAGCTGGGGTTAGTGGTGTTAAGTCCTCTGGATCTTCAGATAAATAGTTGAGTGGCCTGGAGTTGATAACTGCTTCTGCATCACATAGAACGGTACTCAACTCTTCAAAATTTATGGATGCTTTTCCTAAAACTCTTCTCAGAAGGTTCTTCACCATTTGGACCATACGTTCCCAAAACCGACCCCACCAGGCGGCTTCAGGAGGGCTAAAGACCCATTGAATTCTCAAAATTGAACTCTCTTGAACTATTTTGCTCCAGTCGATAGAAGCCATTAAATTGACCGCTCCAACGAAATTTGTTCCATTGTCGCTATATATAGTTCGTGGTCTCCCACGTCTTGCTATAAATCTTCTTAATCCAAGCAAGAATCTATCAGTTGAGAGGCTCTGTATCAGCTCTAAATGGATAGCCCGATACACGGCGCAGGTAAATAATAATATCCAAACTTTATCTCCATTCTTCAAATAGAGTGGCCCTGCCAAGTCAACCCCTGTCACCTCGAAAACCAACGCGTCGCGAACCCTGTCTTTAGGAAGGGAGGCAGGCACGGTTTCTAATTTCTTGGAGGAATATCTCTTACATCGAATGCATCGTTTCAAGATCCTTTGAACAGTCTTCCGACCTCCGAGAACCCAAAATGTTTGTCGAAGATATGACAGGACAACTTGAGTTCCACTGTGGCAAGAAACCAGATGCTTTTCATAAATTAACTTTTCCACAAGTGGGTGATCAGACGGTAAAACTATGGGATATTTGAAGTTTTCTTCATCTTCCCTTCTGAAAATTTTTGTCTTTATTCTTATCAGATCGTCGGCATCACGGAAAGTGTTGAAGCCTTTCAATTTATTCTTCGTGACAGTGTCACCAAAACTTTCCTGCTGCACAATTTTTAGTAGTTTCTGCTCAGCCGAGTTTATATCGTCAACGGATAACTCTCCTCTTCTTCTACTACCTGGGTTTCTACAATTTGTGCAGAATCGAAGGATCCATGCTACCATTCGTACTATAGTTGAGTATTTTGAAAACCGCTTCAAATACCAAGTAGTCTCATAAGTATGAAGATTGGTTACAACTACGAGTTTCTCTCTCTCTCTCTTGAGACCTCATCTTCATCGGTTTGTTCTACTGAGTCGGGCCATTCCTCCTTTGACCCTTTAAGCCACTGTGGGGCCTCCCACCATTTAGACTCTTTAAGAGTTTGAACCGAGTATCCTCTTGAGAGGAGATCGGCTGGGTTACTGTGCCCAGGAACGCGTCTCCAAATTTCTCTTGAAGAGAGCTGAACTATTTCCTTTACTCTGTTGTTCACAAATGTACCCCAATTTTCGTTGTTCTTAATCCAATGGAGAACGGTTGTGGAATCCGACCAAAAGAATGCAGGTACATCTTCTAAACTCATAGCTTTCTGCATTGATTGTGCTAGTCGAGCGCCAATACTGCATGCCAGTAGCTCTAATCGAGGTATGGTTGTGAGTCGTATCGGCGCGACTCGTGACTTGGCCTGTAGTAGCTGTACATTCACACCCTTTATCCTTCTGATCTCAAATAAATTACGCAAGCGTAGCTCGACCCGCTAGCATCACAAAAGGTGTGCAAGCTGAAAGACTGTCGGTATCCTAAAGGAATCACACATAGGGGTATTCGTATGGTTTTCAATTTAGTCAAGTCGGACAGCCATTTGATAAATTTCTTTTCTGCTTCCTCAGGGAGTCGTTCATCCCAAGACAATTTTTTCTTCCAAGTTTCTTGCAGCAACAATTTAGGAATGATTGTCACAGGGCAAGTAAACCCTATAGGATCAAAAACCTTTTGAATGGGGGCCAACACATTTCTTCTGGTAAAGGATTCACAGCTGCTATTAAATTGATCAGAATCACAAAAAAGTGCGTCCTCATTTCGGTCCCAGAGAAGACCAAGTACTTGGGAAGGCTCCAATTCAGCGTCACTTGTCGTACTTTCCCAGCTTCTAAGTTCAAAGTTTCCAAGTTGCATTAATTCGGTTGCTCCGGTCACGAAATGAGAAAGTTCTCGAACGGTATCAACAGACGTGACGCAATTGTCCACATAAAAACTTTTCTCCAAAATTTCAGCAACGTCACGATATTTTTGAGGGCAATTGTGTAAAAGGTTGTTGATTACAGCGCCAAGTATAAATGGGCTACAATTCAGCCCAAAGACCAACCGTCTGTGTCTGTACATCTTCATCTTCTTTTTTTCATAATCACTCCACCAAAAAAATCTTAAAAAATCTCGATCTTCTGGATTTATAGATATCTGTAAAAAAGCTTTCTTTTTGTCTGAAATCACGCCAAGATTCTTTTCTCTAAATCTCATCAATATCGATGGAATGGTATCCAATACATTCAAACCCTGTCTAAACAGTCGTTGAGAGAAAATTTGCCCTTTTCTTTACTTGCGGTGTCAAATACTGGTCTTACTCTAGTTGTCAAATGTTCCTTAAAAACTCCTCTGTGAGGAAGATAATGACACCTCCCCTTCGGAACTTCATCAGGAACCACTTCTATTATTTGATCCCTTTCCCATTCTTGGAAAACTGACTCATAGGCTAAATATCTTCCTGAAGAAATTAACTTGGATGTGGTGGAAAGAAGTCTTTTTTCGGCAATGATTCGGTTATCCGGAAGATCAGCATTGTCTGTCCAGGGTAATTTAACCATATAGCGCCCATCAATATCAGTTGACAAGGTATCGTTGAAAAATTTCATCACTTCTTCTTCTTTTGGTGCCTTTTCAACAGGATCTTTGATTCCTAAAACTTCCATGTCCCAAAAGTGTTCTATTTTATCACTATGAATTAACATGGTGATACTCACAGAAGCATTAGTGCGTAATGGGTCGCAAGAATCATTGGTGGTTCTGCCCATAACAAGCCAGCCTAAATGAGTTTCACAGGCAATCAACCCACATTGAAGACGTTCCATGTTTCCAGTGAAAAGCTGTCCACAAAAGTCGGCACCAATTAACAGTTCTTTATCGTGAACCTTCTCCGTAATCAGCAATCCATATCTGTTTCTTATATAATTCCTTATTCCACGGTCCTCTTTTAAGTCTAGGAATTGTACCTCAAATAGACTGCTGATCAAAAACTTGTATGTCCAGAGAAAAATTTCTATTTTGTGGTTTAAGAGTGATTTGGTAAAGCCCATGATCTTTCACTTGCGTCGTAACGCCGCCAAACAATGATTGGGCTAAATTCTTCTTGTCGTAGGTTTAAGACCCATTTCTTTAACAGTTCTCTTCAATATGTGAGAATTCTGGGAGCCACTGTCAATAAGAGCTCGAACCAGTTTTCTTTTCCCATTGGCTTCAATATTTAATAAGAGAGTCTGCAGAAGAACTTCGTTAGCCTCTTTGGCGACCAACACCTTACTTGAATCTACCCTTTCCTTAGCTGTCAACTCCCCTTTGTTTACTGATAACTCGAAACACATAATTGCGTGATGCCGCTTGGAACACATCATACATTTGAGTTTTGCTTTGCACTCTTTAGCCCTATGGTTAGCCTTGAAACAAATATAACACGCTTTCTTATTGCTTAAGACTTCTTTCTTCTTATCCAAAGACCAACTTTCTGCAATGAAGCAATCTCTACTTTCATGAGTCTTGTCACAGAACACACAAAAGGGATGCCTCTGGGATATGTCACTAGAAACCAGAGTGCTGGCGGTGGGAATGACTTCGTCGATGTGTTGCTCTTTCTTAGACCTCAACCTTGTCCGAGCACCATCAAATCCATTTCTCGCCAGCTGCAAACGTTCTTCGCCTTCCATCTCGCGTTTCAAAAATGAAAGCAAGTTTTACAATTTGTTTCCAAAACTATCTGCCATTTCACCTGCTACGCCCGACTGTATTGGATTTCGCAGCCAAACTCTCATTAAATCTTCGGGAATGCAGGACTCCACCAATGGAAACAAAATCGCTTCATACTTCTCACTCGCCAATCCTAACGATTCCAACGATCTGAGATGTGACTCTAATTTGTCATACAAATTTGCAATATTTAAATTTCCCCTTTTTTCTGTAGCATTTTTTACAACAACAGTTAATAATTCACGGACATAATATTCTATTAGCAACTCGTCTCTCCCAAATCTACTTTTCAGCTCGTCGATTGCTTTTTTATAGTTTTCCGCTGTTGGCGGAAAACTTTCAATGACTTCTCGAGCTCGGCTACCGAGAGTTACGCATTGCAGTAAATACTGGAACTTGTCTTCTGGGGCCAACTCGCTATCAGTATGTATTCTTTGGAACTGACTCCAAAAACCAAGGTAATCTTTCAGATCTCCTCCAAAACGTAACAATTCAATCTTCGGAAGACGCATTCTTCGTTTTGTATTTGGCGATAAAGTGACGGAACTCGCCGCTCCATTCAACACAATTTGTTTACTGAAAAAAATTTCTCTTTCTGCTCTTGCCAAATCCATTTTTTGATCATATTCTTCAATCTTATTATATTCAGCTTCAAATTCAACGTCTGTTTTTATATCGTTCAAAATTAATTCGTCACATTCTTTCATTTTATTAGAAACTCTCTCTAAAGTAAAACACTGCTGTTTGACGTTTTTATTATCAGGCGTTTGTTTTTCTAATTCGTCAAATAAACTTCCTACGGTTTTGGTAAAAGTCATTCTAAGTGATTTACGTTTTCTGATTATGTCCTCCATTATACAAAAATTCAATGCTTTTCCTCTCACTATAAAATATTTCACTAACCTGTGTCAACTACGGATCACGTCGACGGGTCACCAAATGTTGTGTTCTTATATAAATAACAAGTTAGGAATCTTGAGACATCTTTATAAAAAAAAACTTTGTTTATTATTTTTCAACTACTCTCTCTAGTTACAGAATCGCTCGTAACCATAGCATCGTGAACAACGTTGCCACCGGAATTTGAGCCAGCACAAAAAACAATTAGATTATAACACCTCGTGACAACCAATCCAGAACACAAGGAAACTCCTGGATCAGTACCCCAGAGGTATTGATCTGTTATGGAAACATGGAGGACTTCACGACTCGACAGATTTAACGTGCATCAGTCTCCATTTACTACACGGGGAGTCTTCGGCCGGCTGGTATCGAACCCTCGAACTCTTTGACATGGGCCCAGTGCCCTACCAACCAGGCTATCCCGGCCCCCGGAGAACAGATTTTATTTTATATTTTATAACCATCGTTGAACAGCCGACCCAAATTCATGGGTTTACGACTACTTACGTTCAACTCCGTAGCCTTGTAATTTTGAACCAATCCAGAAGATTGGTTGAAGAAGGTATTGATTTGTTGTGGGAACATGGAGGACTTTGAGACTCGACAGATTTAACGTGCATCAGTCACCATTTACTACACGGGGAGTCTTCGGCCGGCGAGGATCGAAACCACGACCTCTTGGATATGGGCCCAGCGCCCTACCGACCAGGATTATTAGAATTTTCATTTTTTCTCCATTTTGACAAAATAATTACAATAATTACCAATAGCAAAAAGCAACTATCTGAACCAGTGATCGCCAAACCGTTTTTTAGCCAATAGTAGGTAGTGAAGACATCGCGTTAGCGCTGTTTTTCGAAGCTCTATCGCCAAGGAAAACAAAAAAAAAAGCCATAGTTTAAGAGTCTTACGTCATATTTTATAGTGAGAGGAAAAGCATTGAATTTTTGTATAATGGAGGACATAATCAGAAAACGTAAACCACTTAGAATGACTTTTACCAAAACCATAGGAAGTTTATTTGACGAATTAGAAAAACAAACGCCTGACAGTAAAAACATCAAACAGCAGTGTTTTACTTTAGATAGAGTTTTTAATAAAATGAAAGAATGTGACGAATTAATTTTGAACGATATAAAAACAGACGTTGAATTTGAAGCTGAGTATAATAAGATTGAAGAATATGATCAAAAAATGGATTTGGCAAGAGCAGAAAGTGAAATATTTTTCAGTAAACAAATTGTGTTGAAGGGAGCGGCGAGTTCCGTCACTTTATCGCCAAATACAAAACGCGAGGTGGAAGGCGAAGAACGTTTACAACTGGCGAGAAATGGATTTGATGGTGCTCGGACAAGGTTGAGGTCTAAGAAAGAGCAAAACATCGACGAAGTCATTCCCACCGCCAGC